ATCTTAATATTACAGTGTTTTATCCCATAAAAATTTCAATTTTTTATTTATTGAGAAAGTATACTATTAGTTTTAGATCTTATTAAATATATATCCATGATAATCTAAATGCACATAAAATTTGAGAGAATGTAGTAAATAACAAATTTTTAAAATTAAATTAAGCAAATATCAGATTTTAAAAGTATTTAAAATAAAGAACAATTTATGCGCGTAATGGTTCATTTACGGTTAGTATAAACAATTTTTTCACCTAAATTTTCTTTTTACGATTTGTAAAAAGGATTTTTTCCATGTAATTAAAGAGTTTTAAGATTTTGTTTTACTATGTAAGTCATTTTTTACCAATTGTAAATGAATCATGTATACGGTAAATGATTCATTTACAACATAAATTCGTATTTATTTTAAATAGTTTTAAAATTTATTATTTACTTAATTTAATTATAAAAAATCCGCTATTTATTACAATTTTTCATTTTATTTACAGGCTCGTATGTAGCATTTTCAAAAAGGTTTTGTTTTAAAAACAATCTTAAATATTATCATGAATATATGTTTAAATTAATAATGTACTTTCTCAATAAATGAAAAACTGAAATTTAAGATTGTTTTGAGAATTATAAGACCACTTCTAAGAATTGTGTTTGATTAGTTTTTTTTTTTTAAATTATTGTAAGTATGATAAAAAAGTGAAATTATATTTAATTATATTTATGAAATTTTATTTTGAGTACACCTAATTATTAATCTTAAATTAATATATTAAATAATTAATAATTGATAATCACTTAACAAATAAAAATTAATAAACTAGTAATTTAGTAGTAGATATATTATTAACGGGTATATTTGTAATTAAATATTATATATATAATAAATTAATATGCTAAATAACTAAAAATAATAATTAATAATCAGTATATAATTATGTTAGTAATGTACTAATAATTACAAATAAGAATTAGTTGCTATTTAATACTTACTGTTTATTTTTATTGCTAAATTACAAATTTAATAATAAGAAATTATTATTTAATTAAAAATTGAGTAATTATTATCTATTTATATAATTAGTAATTATTAATTATTTAGTATAATACCTTTTTATGAAAATAATATTGTTGATAAGTACCTGAAAATAAAAATAAAAAGGGAAAAATAATTTTTAATCATTCTCTAATTCTTTAATCAAACACAGTTTACAAAATATTTTCTCGTACCTCAAAAAATGTGCAGAAACATTTTCAAAAATAATAGAAAAGCAATAACGAACGCACACCCTATGATTTCATTAGTGAATGCTCAATTTTAACTATCTAAAAGACTAAAATATCCTTGAAAGTAAAAACAGGTGGAAAAGCAAAAAGAAAAAACAAAATAAAATCTCAAGTTACAACCATTGATTTTTTTTTCTACAATAGTTTTTCTACTATGATATATTTTTTATGAGGTCCAAAATAGAGAGTATACTTGCACAATAATTAAAAGGGCGGAATGGACATTTTATGTTTCAAAAAAGACGCTCAAATATTCACACTATGCTTTTTAAAACTCCAAGGTACTTATTTAATAGTATTAAAAAGACAGAGTGCCTCCGAGAATTCTTAATAATGCAGTCCAATTGAGATAAATGGAGACGACAATTAGTTCAAATTGCCAAAATTTAAGATGTTCGTATCAAACATGCCCAATTAACGAAAAGTTTGAGTGTGTTTGTATGTCTATGAAAGGATATATTTTCAAATCTTTATTAAGAAAGTATTAATCATTGGTGACATTTAGAAATTTTTGGGATGCTAAAATATACACCCCTAATCATTATGAAACTTTTACGATGACAATAATTCAAAGTAAGAAAAATTTGCCTCTTGTTTTATTTGGAGAAAATTGGAGAATTAATGTTGTAATCGTCTTATGACAATCTATACATATACATACACATTGATATGTATACTGGTGGAAATGTAATTATTAAAAATTTATTCATTTATATATATATATATATGTAATACATATATGTAACGATAGATAAACGTAGTTTTTGAACCATAAGTTCCATGCACGATCACTATCTATTTGTATGAAAATAACTGTAAGACCGGTTTTTAGCCCAAGACATCTTGATAGCTGATAAATTCACAATCCAAATTTAGATAACATTTATTCTCCTTAGATTCTTCAAACAAGAAAAAAATCTCTTGATTGATTGGGCACATTTTGTGGCCAAACGATCTCTCCCTTATTAGATTATAGCATAATCTTCCTTGTTTTGTCTGACTCGGACGACAATCTGTTCTTAGTACTTAGCCAAGAGATCTTAACTAAAAATGGTTTAAACATTGGTTATATTTAACCACCATTTAAAAATTAGGCAATTTTTAAAGGAAACAACTTTTGTTTCACTCTTGGGTAAAATGTTGCCATGGAGGATAGCAGTTATAAAAGACTTAAAATAGTGGAAGTGATATTTACTTATTTAGTAAAGTTGGTGTAATTTCTAAAAGCATTTCAAACCTTTTCTGTGTTAATAATAATCCCACCCTCTTTTCGTAAGAGTTGCCATGGCTAACCGGAACGAGGTACGCATACTAACTCCTAATGAGTTTTTGATGTCTTGTTTATGGGATTTCTTTCTTATGGAAGGCAAAGTGAAAGGAAATCTTTTTACCGGATAGATAAGATGTTGTAGGATTATTTTGTGTAGTTGCATGAATTAGAACAATTTTATAAGGCACCGACGGTATTAAACACCAGCTATTAATTGAAGGTAAGTCTCGCAATATGGGACCCTCATATGAGATCCATCTTCTATCAATGATGGTGTTTAACCTCAACGGTGCCTCTAAGCATTTTTTTTTTTTTTTCATGAATTATAGGGTTCACTTTTGTTAGGCTGCAGAATTTGCTTTGCTTCCTGTAGGGGACCAATTAGGCTATTACCAAAAGAGACTATTTTGTATTTTTATTAATCATCTCATATTCCAACTATTAATTTGGATTTATGTCTTTGTGAGTGCTAAACTGGGACTCGTATTGCCCCTAACATTGCTCTATGAATATCCTTTTTATGATGTGATGAGATAAAGGTTAATAGTGCTAACATTATGAGAATATATGCAAACCATTCTTGATTAATCTACTTTTTCTTTGGTGCAATGCTCTCATACCACATTGTCATATGAATTTTTTGTTCCATTAAGAGAACTCTTCAAACCTGGTTTATTAATTAGATATCATATCTATGTCACGTTGATCATTAATTTAATTTTAATTTTCATATTTTCAGGAAAATTCACCGACACATATTAGAAAAACTAATTTATATGCATCAAAATAACTATAAAGTTTCTTAATTTATGTTAGCTTTATATATTTGTCACTTAAAGGTTTTGCCTTGTTTTCTCTCGTTATCTTCTTATGATTACTAATGTTAACATGTTGCTATAGCCATGTGCCGATTTGATTTCCTCCTCAGTACAACTTGTAAGTTGGCGCAATATCTGAACCAGTTAAATCATTTGAAAATCTACTCTAAAACACGATAATTTTTTTTTTTTTTTTTAAAAGTGGGGCAAGAAAACATTTGAGCTTGTGTTGGTCAATGTGCGTTGACCAAGGGGATATTAACCAATACAAGCTCAAGATATCAACTCAAATCCTTTCCAAAGACCACCTTTTCATATATCCAATTAACTCTTTTGAAAAGCTATTCTAAGACATGGGAAATTAATTTTAAAAAAATAATAATGTGGGGGCAAGAAAACACTTGAGCTTGTATTGGTCAAAGTGCGTTGACCAAGGGGATATTATTATTAACCAATACAATGTCAAGATATCAACTATGTCCTTTCCCTAAGACTACATCATATGCATCCATAGATCAATGTTTATTGCAAGATGTAATTGGCTTAAAAAATTGCGAGGCAAATAGAACACTTGAGCTTGTATTGGTCAATGTGCGTTGACCAAGGGGATATTAACCAATACAAGGTCAAGATATCAATTCAACTCCTTTTTCCCATAAAAGTAGATCATGTACATCCGTAGATAAAATGCTCATTGCAAATTGTGATTGACTTAATGTGATTCAAGATGTTAGATACTGACTATATATCCTTTTTTCAAAATTTACAGAAAAATGGTTGGATGTCTGTTCCTCAATTTGGAGGGTGGGAACACAAGAGCCCGGGACGCACCGACTACTCCATGGTGTTTTCCCGAGCTCGGGCCAATAGGAAGCAGAAAAAGACTGACTTGAGTGAGTTCAAGCGCTCCAGCCTCGGAAACGAAAGGGAGCTCATTGCTCCTCGTGGACCTCCTCACCAAGATGATTCTGTCATGGTAGGACTTCATTTCACCAAAACTCTAACTCATGTGTTCATCATACTTTAAGTTGCATTGCACACCATCATTCAATAGGTAGTCCTTTATGTCGCTTGAGTTGACACCATATATGTTCACCTGTTTTGGTCCATATCCCCTTGGTCAACGCACATGGACCAAACATGGTAGAACATCGCGTCCCCCCACGAAATTGATCATAATACACCAATGAGTATATTACCTTTCTGAAAACAGAACAGGGAAAATGAAAGAGAAAATAATTTTGCTCAAGTCTGTCACATCATTCTTTCGTTCTGATATGCTCACACTAATTTCCATGCAGAGGAAAAAGAAGATTCTGACCTACATTAACTGCTGTATTAGACCTTGAATTGCTTAGTATCCAAACTAACTACCTGTCAAGCTTCCAATCATTTGTCCCCTATTAATGGCCTGTAAATTATATAGACGAGAGGTTTCTCTAAACAGACCTAATCAGAAGTTTCTGTAACTTCTAAGTGTGCAATATGCATATTATGTATTATGTAACTAAATTTGGATTTCAATTTGTACTTCTACAGACACACACACACAAAAACACAAATGTATGTATTTGTATGTCATTGCTCAATCACACGGCCATGGCAGGAATCTGACTAAATAATATTAACACGTATTCATATAAACATCACACAGTAATGTACACAGGAGGTTGTGCAACCTAATTATTCACATCTTGGAAACTAATGACAGTCATTCCAACAATTCAAGTTCGATCAAATTCTTTCTTTACTAATGTAATGAAATCACACTAACTTAAGATGATAATTAGAAAGAAAATATTACAATAAAACATGCCATTTTTAGTTTATTGATATAGAACGCTTAACCGGAGCTCGTAGAGAAGATAAGTAGTTAGCATCTGCCTTGTCAATTCCATTGAAAAGATAATTAAAAGGTGGCAGCTCTATGTACTTTCCAGAACCTGGATTAACCTTCAATTCATCATTTTGCCAAACAATTCTTCCACCAGCAATTGTCACCTCAACCTTTCCCTGAAAAACAGATCGTGAACTTAAACACCAAGAATGCCAGGAACAATAAGCAGACAGCAGGATACACGTACAAAAAGATTTTAAATATTAAAAGTACAGGTAAATATAGATGTGTTAGTAGTCATTAAAGAACTTGTTAAGCGGAAAGCTAAGAATAGTTATGGAACGCTAGGTCAGAGTAAAAATGCATCAAAATGAGTTGCGAAAGTGTATATTGACAATGCATAAATTTGAATTCCACCGTTACGTCTTTGGTAATATGCGCGTCATCAATTTCACATGATTTGGTATGTGAATCACAGATGTGAAGATACATGAACAATGCTCCTTTTTTCTTTTTCTTTTTTTCTTTTTTCTTTTTATTACCTAACATAAACAAATGTTTCAACTAACAAAAACTTCCTGTAAAAACCATTCTACTTATTGTTTTCCTTATTATGTCAAATATTCTGTCTCAAGTTATTCCCCATGCATGTTTTCCACGGTGGGTTACAAATATGCTCTATAACTGATAGGATCCCGACCTTAACAATTAATGGTTATGAGTATGAAGGAAGGAAAATCACTGAATCGTATTATTATTAGAACTAGTCACCAGAAAACAGAGAATGAGCTCGTCTGAGCTCGGTATTACAATCGGAATGGAAATTACAGAAGAACGAAAGGGATAGAGAGGGATTTTCGAGGAATCCCACAACCTCCTAACAACCAACTCTAGTCAGGCCAAAAACAAACCACTCCGCACTCGCCCTCGCTTAATACCACACAGATTCTCTAACTAACTTCCCACGTCAGCTTCCCCTGCCTCAGCCAGACTCATATTCCCAGATGGGCCTGTCTGGACCCCCAGCCCCTTATCTTCCATTCCATTTGGGCCGGAATCTGCCACCAAACCACCCTTGGTCCTCCTGGTGTAGACCTTCCTCACCGGAGGCCTGACACGACTCCCCCCTTCGAAGACAACCTTGTCCCCAAGGTTGTAATGAGGAAATTGGGCCTGAAACACCTCTAGAAGCTCCCAGGTGGCCTCCCAGTCTGGCAGGTCCTTCCACTGAACCAACACTTCCGTGACTTGTTTCCCTCCCACCGAAGTCCACCTGCCGCGAAGAACCTCGGAAGGCTCGACCTGCAACTCTAACTCATCCGAGAGCTGTAGGGGAAGTGGCTGGTGCTGGAGTGCATCCCCCTTGAAGGGCTTCAGCTGAGAGACATGGAAGACCGAGTGGATCCTCGCGTCTGCCGGTAGCTTGAGACAATAGGCCACTTCTCCAAAACTTCAAATGGCCCATAAAATCGAGGAGCCAACTTTTCATTGGGTCGACGGGCTAATGACTTGAGGCGATAGGGGCGGATTTTGAGCAAGACAAGGTCACCGGCCAAAAAGGAAAGTTCCCGACGGTGAACATCCGCGAACTTCTTCATGCGCTGCTGTGCAAGCACGAGGTTGCCCCTGAGCATATCGAGGAACTCGTTCCTTTGTCGCAGCTGGAGGTTGACATCTTCCACGGCCGAAAGAGAATCTTGGAAGCGGTGAACAGTTGGAGGATCGCGGCCATACAACACCTGAAAGGGAGAATGCCGCGTTGATGCATTATAGTTGGTGTTGAACCAGAATTCTGCCCAAGGTAAGAAGCGGAGCCACAAGCGAGGCTGATCACTCGCGAAGCAGCGGAGGTAAACCTCCAAACACCTGTTCACAACCTCGGTCTGGCCGTCGGACTCGGGTGATATGCCGGGCTGCGTTTCAGCTTGGTCCCCTGCATGCGAAAAAGCTCCCGCCAAAAGAAGCTCATGAAGAGGGGGTCCCGGTCGGTGACAATGGAGGCCGGAATGCCGTGTAGCCAGACTATTTCCCGCACAAACACTTCAGCGACTTTCTTGGCCGTGAATGGGTGAGAGAGTGGTAGGAAGTGTGCGTACTTGGATAACCGGTCCACGACCACCAAAATTGTATCAATCCCCTGCGACCGTGGCAGCCCCCTTATGAAGTCCATGGAGATATCTTCCCACACCCTCTCCGGTACCGGCAATGGTTGGAGCAATCCTGCGGGTGTCATTGCCTCATACTTCGAATGTTGACAAATGGAACATTGAGCAACATATTGACGTATATCTTCCTTCATCCCCCGCCAGAACAGGTTATGCGCCACTCGTTTATAAGTGCGCAAAAAACCCGAATGACCCCCTAAGGCCGAGTCATGAAATTCGTGCAACATGCGTTGTATCCATGGCGATTGCCTAGGAAGGACGATTCTGCCATGGTAACACAGCAAGTCCCGCTGTAAGGACCAACCCGCAGCCAACTCCTCACCCTGAGCGAGCTTCTGTAACAAGGCAGCGCAGTTGCCATCTTGCTGCTGTTCCTGCCTGATATCCGCCCAATTTACTAGCTGCGGAATGGAGATGGCCGCTAACTCCACCCCAGTGTCAGCCCCTCGTCTAGAGAGTGCGTCAGCCACACGATTCGACGCCCCTTGCTTGTATTCCAACTCGAAATCATACCCGAAGAGCTTAATTACCCAGCGAAGGTGCTCTGGAGGTAGCAGCCGCTGGTCCATGAGGAACCGGAGCCTCTGCTGGTCCGTGCGTACCACGAAGTGCCCGCCAATGAGGTAATGGCGCCACTTTTGGACAGCCAACACGACCGCCATGAGTTCCCGTTCGTAGACGGACCGGAGCCTAGAAATGTCGGAGAGCGCCTTGCTGAAAAAAGCAATGGGCCTCCCCCCCTGCATTAGCACCGCCCCAATTCCCGAACCCAAAGCGTATGTTTCTACCACAAATTGCTTGGAGAAATCCGGTATTGCTAGAACGGGAAGGGAAGTCATAGCCCGCTTTAGTGCTTCGAAGGCAGCCCCCGCCTCTGGGGTCCATCGGAATTCTCCCCTTTTAAGCAAATCGGTCATGGGTTTTGCCAACCGTCCAAAATCCTGAACGAAACGCCGGTAATAACCCGCCAGTTCTAAGAATCCCCTTACTCCCCGTACGTTCTTGGGTGTGGGCCAAGATAGAATTGACTCCACCTTGGCCGGATCAGTGGCCACCCCTGCAGCTGAGATAACATGCCCCAAGTACTCCAACTGTGGCTACCTAAAAACGCATTTCTTCCGATTTGCAAAAAGCTGCTCCCTCCTCAGAATGCCTAGGACTACGACGAGGTGCTCTTCGTGTTCCTCCCATGTTCGACTATAAATTAAAATATCGTCGAAAAACACTAAAACGAATTGGCGCAAATAGGGTTGAAATACCTTGTTCATAAGTGCCTGAAACGTGGCGGGAGCGTTGGTCAAACCGAACGGCATGACCAAGAATTCATAGTGCCTTTCGTGTGTTCAGAATGCCGTCTTCTCCACGTCGAATTCCCTGATTCGTATTTGATGGTATCCTGCCCGCAAATCCAACTTCGAAAACACCGCGGCCCCATGCAGCTCGTCCAACAATTCATCTATGACCGGAATTGAAAATTTGTCTGGCACGGTAAGTTGGTTGAGGGCGCGATAATCGACGCAGAAACGCAAGCTTCCATCCTTCTTTTTGACCAATAAAACCAGGCTGGAGAAGGGGCTGTTGCTTGGCCTAATGATCCCTGAAGCCAGCATTTCTGACACCAATTTCTCAATCTCATTTTTTTGCACTTGGGGGTATCGGTAAGGCCTAATATTGGGCGGCTCAACCCCGGTCTTGAGGACAATCTGGTGGTCTCGAGCGCGTCTCGGCGGTAGTCCTTCCGGTGTCGCAAACACGTCGAAAACTGGGTCAAAACCCCTTGGGTGGCAGATATTCCAACATGGCCTCCCCGCCCCCTTCCTTGCCCTCAAGGACACAAATTTCAAGCAAGGCCCCCATCACCTCACCCTGGAATTTTCACGTGAGAGCACGGAAACTTACCGGTTCCCATTGTAGGGTGGGATCCCCCTTTAAGCAAATCCACCCCTCAGCTGCCCTGAATTTCAAGGTGAATTCCCGCCAATTAGCCCTGACTTCCCCCAATGTTCGCAGCCAGGAAACGCCCAATACCACCTCGGCACATCCCAATTCAAAGGGTACGAAATCCCCACTCAGTCGATAGCCCTGGATTTCCAGTTCCACACCTTTACACAACCCTTGCTGCCGGAAACAAGTCCCGTTCCCTACCTGGATGCCATAACTGCCCGTGGTGGACAAGGGAATTCACATCTCTTGCACGACCCTTAAGGAGAGAAAATTGTGCGAGGCCCCCCTGTCAATTAAAATCAATACCTCGCGTTCGCCGAGGGTCCCTTTCAGCTTCATGGTGTCGGAAGATGCAATTCCCATCATCGCGTTGAGGGAAAGTCTAGCCATCCCCCCTAACTCTTCGGCCGGAGCTTCCTCTATCTCTTCCATGTTCTCTTCTTCCTCCGCGTCGCCCTCCGACACCAACAGCACCTGTAATTGCCGGTTCTTACACCGGTGGCCAGGGCTGAACTTCTCATCGCACCAGTAGCAGAGCCCCTTGGCTCGTCGGCGTTGGTACTCCTCATCCGTCATCCGTTTGAACCCAGTCCCCCCTTCGGACAGCCTTCACTGCGGCGTGGACCAGAAACGAGACCGTGGAGAAGAGTTAGGCTCCTTACCTGGAATGGACTGAAGGGAGCTTCCAGAATAACCTGGCTGCCCATTAGGCCGCTCGCTTGGGCCCATTTCCCTTCCCAAGCCTTCATTTCGCCCTCCTCGGCCCAGTTTACCCTTCCTCAACCGATCGACTGCCTCGTTTCTCTCTTCAATCTGCTGGGCCAAATCCATAACTTCCTGCAAGTTAATGGGCCGCAATAATTTTACCTCAACCCGCACGTCCTCTCGGAGGCCATTGAGGAAAGCTCCCCGGAAAATGGGTTCCGGTATTCCTCTCATTGATGCAGCCAAAGCCTCAAAACGGTCACGAAATTCTGTTACTGTCCCTTCTTGTCGCAGAGCCATCAAGCGCTCCGTTGGGTCACCATCCTTCGCGCGGCTGAAACGGTGGAGGATCGCCGCCTTCAGATCTCGCCATTCGATGAAGGGGTGCTGCGAGTCCACTGGAACCACCCGAGGGCCCTTCCCGCCAACCCCCACGGCCCTTTTAGCCCAAACCAACAAACAATTATGAGTTAACGTTACACTAATTTTTATTATTTTTATATACAAAAAAATCTTTAAATAATACAAAATGAAGACTTTCTCCAATCAAAAAAAAAAAAAAAAAAAGAAGACTTTCTGACCCAATGATTAACCCGTTGAACGACAACTTAAGCTGACTGTACTGTGAATCAAAGAAAGCGGGGCGGGAACCTGAGTCTCAAGGTGGCATCCCAACAATGCTTCCAAGCAGTGGAGGGCCCCCTGCACGTCTCCTAACTGAGTTCCCAGAACATGGACATCCTCCTGCAGCTGAGGTACATGGTCCACCATAGCTCCCAGCATCTGAACCGTATCCCTGACAGAATCGAGACCTCCTTCAAGGCTGGAAACTCGCTCGGTTGTGCTCGCCGTGGGAGTGTGCTGCGCCATGGATCACGGCTCTGATACCAAGTTGATAGGATCCCGGCCTTAACAATTAATGGTTATGAGTATGAAGGAAGGAAAATCACTGAATCGTATTATTATTAGAACTAGTCACCAGAAAACAGAGAATGAGCTCGTCTGAGCTCGGTATTACAATCGGAATGGAAATTACATAAGAACGAAAGGGATAGAGAGGGATTTTCGAGGAATCCCACAGCCTCCTAACAACCAACTCTAGTCAGGCCAAAAACAAACCACTCCGCACTCGCCCTTGCTTCCTAATACCACTCAGATTCTCTAACCAACTTCCCACGTCAGCTTCTCCTGTCTCAGCCAAACCCATATTCCCAGATGGGCCTGTCTGGACCCCCAGCCCCTTATCTTCCATTCCATTTGGGCCGGAATCTCCCACCAGACCACGCTTGGTCCTCCTAGTGTAGACCTTCCTCACCGGAGGCCTGACAATAACGTTGCCATTACAATGCTAACAACTCGTGTCATGGCAATTACTAAATCATCAGCTAGCTTCTGCATTAATATCTATGTAAAGTAATTCATTATCATGTCCCCACTCAATTTTGTCAGAACTCAAGTCTTGTGGAATGTGGTAGAATCTTGACGATTTCCATATCACATCAATAATTTTTTTTGCAATCTAAAGTAACAAACAATGCTTATGAACTATGAGTCCAAACTTCTCTTAACAATGATTCCATCATATACGGTAAGACTAGCAAGAAGAAATGCAATCTGGAACTGGGATATGTTCTTCAGTATATTTCTAAATAAACATTTAGTAAGTTTACAACCACGAAAAATTGAACCGTAGTGCAATGAAGAGCCTTTTCATGTTAAGGTAATGGCTGAGTCATTAGATAGTGAGCGATAAGAATTACCTTTCCTCGCCTTCCTTCATATACATTTGTGTCAGATCTAGAGTGGTGGGACTTTGCACTTATTTCAAAACTTGAGTTTGGATTAGCATTTATCTTAACATGTGCTCCTACACATTTACTTTGTTATCTCAAAGGACTAAGAATAGATATATTGTAAGGGAATACATTATCAACAGAATAATATCAAATATACCATTCCGCGCTTGTTACTCGGACATAGTCAGTAACTGAAATTTGGCCAGATTCCTGAAGGACATATGAGATCAAACCACCACAAAGACTATAATTCTACTTAAAGCAATTGGAGAAATAAGCCAAAAAGTTATTGCAGCTTACCACCATTGTGTCCCAGACAAGGTGCATCCTCTCCTCGATACCTGAATCCCATTTCAATATCAAGAAGGATGATAAAGTAAACTAGTTAAAATTTAGGCCCCCAAAAAGCTCGTGACTTTTTGAGTTCAGAGACACTCTATTTTCTATATTACCGTTGACACCATTCGGGATTTTCCGGAAATCATCAATTCCAAGAGCCTTCTGTGTGGAATTGAAGGTACAGTGGTCGGTTCCTACAAGCTGAAAATTGCATAATTTACTATAAGAATAAGCTGAAAAGATTTCGATACATGTAATATGGTCATTGTTAAGAATTCCTGTTAAGTATCAAAAGTTTTAGGATTAGATTCACTTGTGTTCTTCACTTTGGTAAAATATTTCATATATCTCCAAAACACAATTCTTTTCTTTAAAAAGATAAATAAACGAACCCAATTCTTTAAGTTTTTCCTATTTTTGTGGATCTAGAGTATCTAGAGATTTTATTTGGTGTATATAGCTGTATATTTCTTTCCTTAAAAGTAGGAGTAGTTCCTAGAAATCAGGATCAATTCAAATGGATCCTTGTGTATAAATATACCCGAATTCATCCAAAATAAATCGAAGAGAATTCCAATTCTGGTCTCCTTTAAGCTTTAGCAACTATAACCGTGTAAAAAAATATCAATAATAAACAAAGATAAAACAATGTCTCATTTCTTACTTTGCTGCAGTAACAAAATCAGAATGCCAAAGCCAAGAATCATCAAGGACCAACCCAGATACTACAGGTTCTCCAATAACCCTCTGCCCTGCAGGGTGAAAGGAAATAACTTCCTGAGAGATTGTAGACCACCAAAATTAAGATCTTTCAGAAGAAAGAGCAGTAAAAATGATGAGGTAAATTTATGACTTGAAAAAAATACAACAAATTAAATGAAACGACCGCCAACACTGGCAGAATTATCTCACGATACTTTTCACCTCCAGAACTCTTCTCTGTCTAAATATTTGTCTGTGCATGATGTTAGAAAGGCAATTTCTTGGTAAGCAATCTTAGAAATATGTTAAAATCCAACCCCACCAGGATATTTTAAATTTTCACATATTTGGGTCCTCAAACAGTGAGCAAGTGGTGATGCGTTCATTCTACAGATAATTTTTTCTTTAATAAAAAATGTCTGAATGTACGCTTCAGTCTAAAGAAAAATCTTCAAAGTTGCAATTCACTCCAACTCTACAGTTCATGAAAGCATCTGTCGCTTCCTCTGTTTGTTCTAAATAATTCATAGAGCTCAAAAGATCTAGTAAGAATTTTATCACGCAGAGCTAAAGACTGAAAATTCAAGTTATTTAAAGAATTACAATAAGTCAATAACCAATGAAAAGATAGGATATGTGATGCTGAGTGATCAGAGATTCTATTAGAAAAATGAATTTTCTGTTAAACATGTACCACCACTAACAGATTTAAGATCTTAGTGGACCTGATTTCCGAGCTTTAGCAATTTCTTCCATAGCATCAATGCTCATCACATGAACCACATACAAAGGATTGTTGATAAAACCTGCCAATCGAATTGCCCGAGCAGTTGCCTCTCCTTCCAACTACATGGGAGTTACTATTAACTTATATACAAGGATTAAATAAGCAGAGATACAGTTTAACATTCTATTATATACTTAAACTAAACGGAATAGGAAGAAATAGACCCGCAAGGAATATTCACCAGTCTCACGTGGTCTCACGTGATATAAGCCATATGTTTGCTGTTAAAGAAATTGTCTTTTAGACAATACTATGCAAATAAGTATAGCGGGAAAAGGGATCACACAGAAGAAGCTAACCTTCCAGTGGCACCCCTTTTTTTTTATTTTTTCCTAAAATCCTTGTACTTTTACCTGACACGAGGAACAAAATCTCCCTCTTTAATCTTAATTACAAAACATAAACGATGGTTCAGGAATGAAACTCTGAGAGGTCCCTATAATGGGTTTCCATGGGCTCAACCGTAAGCTAGGTCAACGTTACAGCAAGAATGTATTTTTATCAATACTTTAGACCTCGCACCCGATATTAGTACATGGAACAAAAGGGGCATTTTTTCCCCAAAAAATAAAAAACAAAAATCCTCAACATGTGCCCTGTAGAAGACATATTAGCAGCCAAGATCGCAAAAGAATGTATTTTCATAATTACCACTGGTGGCCTTGAAAGAGCATGTCCCTCAGGACCAGTAATACCAAGTTCTATCATTCTTTGTTGTCCTTCATAAACAGCATCTCCATTTTCTGCATGGACCATGGCTAGAGCGCCAAGAGCCTTGCATTTCTTGAAACCTTCTAGTAGAAGCTCATCACTAATCATTAGAGAGCCCTTGTAGGCCAAGAAAAACTTGAAAGAGTTTATCCCTGCATTTGTGAGAATAAATATACGTAGATAAATATGGCAATATTGTTTCGACCCAAACTTAGCAGCACCTGGAGAAACATAAACTACTAACCTTTTTCCTTAACCATTATTTCCATTTCTTTTGAAATGGTTTCATCCCATTTTGTAATTGCCATATGGAAACCATAATCCATGCATGATTTCCTCGATTTTTTTTCATAAGCTTCAAAACCCGCCGTCAAACTCCCATTAACAGGTATAACAAAGTCAATATGCATAGTTGTTCCACCTGCTAATGCTGCAGCCTGACCAGTGAAAAAGTCATCAATTGTTTCTGTACCCATGAACTCCATAGCAAGGTGAGTATGAGGATCAATTCCTCCTGTTAATGTCAAAACAAATTGCTATATCATTAGAAAACTTGTTCAAATATATGCAATCAATAAGTGTATCTGAAAGAAGAACCAAAAGAAAAATAACATCTGGATAGTATTGACTAGGAAACTCATAAATGAAAAAACCAAGCGTTAATAACCGTATTCAATTTTGTTAACATATGTTCAGATGAAATTAACATGATATTGTGATAATCAAAATGCTTCTGGAACCATTCCAATTAACAATTAGAGCCGGACAAGAGAGAACCCAATAAAAAGAACACAACGTAGAGCAACTGATCTCCATGCCAAAGGCCCCATGGGCTGAGTGGCAGAGGCAATGGTGTAATCCTCCCAGTTTTCAAGTCCTATACTTGAACCCCAAGTAAGAAAGGAACGTGGAGATTAAATGGAAAATTAAGGATCATCACCAAATCGGTAGCTAGCCATTGGAGCCAAAACTCTATCTTTACTACAGGGCTTGAGCCTTGAAGATAAGCATCTAAGAGCTTATCTGGCAAAAGACACTCAACTCAGTACTTGCACAGCATTGCCCCGTTGTTGCCACCCCCTCCCAGTCAGAAAATGACAACAGTGTAATGATCTATCATGCACCTATAGAAGAAGAATCTAACCTGGCATGACAAACTTTCCAGTGGCATCAAGAACAGTTACATCATCCCCAACCTGGAAATGACATCAATAAAGATAAGGATATGTGTTAAATCACGCTATAAGAGAGAGTTTAAGAGAGAGCAAGAGAGAGAGAGAGGCCATCTCAGTAGAATCTCAAAGAAAACAAAAGGAGGTGCATTCTTGTAACATCCAACACATTGGCTTAGTAGACAAATAAAGCTTCTCCCAGGTTACATAGAAATTTGAGGAACCACAGCCTCTCTAAAGTAAATGTGCTTTCTCCAAGACAAACACTATGAAATCAAAACCTTTTGTAATAACTGCAGATAATGCTAAAAAGATGATAACTCAGTGCCCAAAAACAACAAGCTCACCTGTCCAAAATATAGATTATAAATGGATCTGTAAAATAAATAAATAAATAACATCGTGCAAAATCGAAGTAAACATCAAAGAACTAAGAGTACTTGAGAGCTACTAGTAGTGAATGTTTTTGAATTTTCATCATATTCTGGCATAATTCTAAATGCGCTTGCCGGAAGCATTCGCCACCATATAGCCAGTGGCATAGCCAGAAATTCAAATTTTATCCTTAATTTATATTTTTAACAAAAATTTCAGTTATGCTGTACTTCAGAAACAAAATTATAAGTGTGTATCCACTCAATAATTGAAACATATAACTATGTCCCTATTCACCAAAGAATTATTTTCAAGTTTTTCGCTGTACTAAAAGTGGGAAAAATTCCCGGGGTCCGAGCATAGCTTCTCTATTCATATTAGATAATACAAAATTAAGTAAGAAAGAAAAAAAAAAAAAGGAAATGAATGGTTGGAAAACATTTGATTTCAAAGTCAAAGACCAGCTTATCTAACTCAAAATTGAAATCCAAGTTCAACTATCCTCATCAAGCAAAAACATTCACAAAAACCAAAGCTTGAAAAAACGTTACTTGAACGTGAGGCTTAACGGCGACAATGATCCCATCCTCCACATAAACATCAGCAACCTCCTGCTGATGAGCGTTCACAACAGTCCCTCCCTTTATCAGTATTTTCGACGCCGACGGCGAAGAAACCCCGCATGTGGATTCGCCATATCCAAATACTGTATCGCCGAACTGGAACACCGAAGATAGTTAGCAAATCAAACTCTCTTACAAACAAAGCAAGCAATTTTTCCCACGGTTTCTAGTCAACCAAACAGAAAGTAGAGATTGTTAGTACCTGGTTGGATTCGGAGATTGAAGGAAGGCAGAAGAAGAGAAGAACAAGTAAGGGAAGATGGAAAATTTGGGATCTTAAGATTGAATCCATGAATCTCTGGAAGCAGTGAGGGTGGACGTAACGATTCTGCCAATTGGCTTTATACTTTTCAAATCCTACGGGAATTTCTACGGCGTGTTACACACAATTTAGCTCACACCTATGTCTTTCCATTTGAGCCGTTGGATGCGTTGTTTTAGCTTTGATCATGTTGTGCATAAAAAAATTAAAAAAAAATAAAAAAAATCCTTAAAATAACTTGTTGAAGATATGGTAAGGTGTAAACTTGATTTTGGCCCCCAAAAAAAACAAAAAAAGTTAGCCTTTTGTGTACAATGTGAATTATGATATTAGCAAAAAGAAAAAAAAAAGAAAGATTACTGTTTTTTTCCAATTCTCTGCATCATACTTTTTTTTTTATATAGAAATGTCATGCATCATAATATGCATGATTATTGATGCTAATAAGACTAAGATAACACCTTATCCCAAAGTTTGTGTTCCAGTATCCGTAGTAGTTGGTCACCATAACACTAGTCATTTCTTTAGATGCTTACCCTATGATGTAGGGGAAAAATCAGTAGGTCCATTTCACGTCGCGAGTTTAAATTATAATTGTTTGATAAAGCTTTTTATTTGTCTATTTATTATTTATTATTATTTTAGCTTGTGAGTATAACTTTTGTCTACAAGTCATTCGGTATTTGACAGTTTCTTTCGAGCTTTGCAGCTTAACTCTTCAGGTCTTCTTCTTTTCTTTGTGGTCCTCTCTCGTTAATTGTATCGTTATTAGAGATTTGCGCCAATAATACTTTGAATTTTCTTTTTACTTTAGTTTGTGCTTTAAATTGTAATAAAAGTGCAACGATGGTGTTCTTACTACTTTCTATTTATTAATTTGTAATAATAGAGATGATTTTTTCACTGTCTGATATTGGTTATGTCTCTCACATGATTGAGTTGTTCACTAACAATGGGGATTGTTTGGTCAAGTTAAAATTTTTTTTGTGTCATGATGCTAAGTTTTTGATGGGAAGGGGTTTTTTTTAAATAGGACTTTAAGTATATTTAATTTTAGCGTGCTGATGTTTTCTCTCATTCTCAAACATCAAGTGTACGTGCATCTTTCTGTCTAATCATAGGCTTATATTGTGTAGTTTATTTATCTGTTCCTATTTAAATATAAATTCTCTAGAAAAAAAAAAAAAAAAAACCTTGGGCACTGCCATTAGTTAAGGGGAGGTGGTTTAAGGTACTTTTTTTAGGCTTGAAAAGAGTGGGTTTTTTTTTTCTTTTTTTTTTTTAAAGAAAGAAAAGAGTAGTTTTTAGGTCAAGCTTATCTTCGTGTTTAATTTTCTTTAAAAATATTTAAAAGAAGTACATGATTTTACACAATATATTTGTGTCATTTTTAGGTCTCGTTCGCTTCGCAGATTCGAGTTTTTAATTTGAACTGAGATGTGACATTTTTTAAGAACTTTTAACTGTAACAGAAAAAGTTAGATGTGACATTTTCTGAGAACTTTTAACTGTAAAAACTTAAAACTGAAAACTCGAATCAGTTAAACGAACGAGACTTAAGTTTGCGCTACTTATGATTACTCTTTTGCTGATTTAAGGTACGTTTGGTTGGAGGATTCAAACCATGTGATTCGAACAATTTTCGATTTATGTGAATTTTTTGTGAGAAAAAATACTGTAACGAATCATGAATCATGATTCGAATCAGAGAACGAATCCCTCTACCAAACAGAGCCTTAATATTTTCCTTTTGGATCTTTGGTCTCCGGCCTCCGCTTGTGCTTTGAGCACAGTCGCAACATTTTTTCTTTTTTCTTTTTTCTCTTTTTGGTTCTTTTGGTGAGAATTCTCCACGGTTGAAACTTGCACACAAGATATAGAGCTTTATATAGACACTCACCCACAACATGACCACAGCATGAAGAGCCTGAAATGGAGAACACAGCAATCAGAGATTGCCAGATTTTCTACATAAATATTATAGGAAATGGCGTCGTAGAATCACATCCATTATTTAGCAGTTCAGCCTCTGCTAATTCAAAGCTAATAAGATCGAACAGTAACAAAGAAAAACCATGTCCTAAAGCTCCTCAGCCTTGCAAAATGCATTCTTTTCTTTTCTTTTCTTTTCTTTTTTGTAGGCATACCATCTCTCGTTTCAAGAAGTCAAACTTTACAAGTCAGAGCCCTACTAGAAATGACTCAGGCACCCTCCAGAAGCATCTTGCTATTGTCGATTTTTTTTCTCTCTTTTTTTCTTTTTTAGAATTTAGTTAAAATGGTAAACTTATAAGACTTTCAGTTATACTGTAGCCCATGCAAAATAATTGCAACAGCGTCCTCCGTTGGGAGCCCTACCACAGCCGAAGTAGAAGCAGCCATGACTTGGTCCCGGTTTCTGCACCATTTGTTTTCGTCTTTGCACCCCGCAGAAGCATTTTTCTTCTTCGCCGTGCCCGATCTGGATCTGATGAAAGGGGACCAACGGTACCGATTGGTGCTTCATCCTGTAAGGGGGTGGGATGAAGCACGATTGGTACTCCGGGAACTTTTGCAGTGTTAACGGATGATCCATGGGCTGCCACGTCAGTGAGTTAGTTATGGTAAACTGGAATCCACGGTGCATTAGATAGGTAAGCAGGCGAGCAGTGTTCTTAGCATCGTCAAGGCCGCAGTGAGCACGGCCTTCCCAAGTGAGGCCAGCCAGCTGAACAGCTTCTTTCAGGTTGCACTTCACCCCTCCAAATACCTCATGGAATGGGATCTTCAGATTGATCCATCTGTAGATGGAAGAAAGCCGAACATATTAGTTCCATTCGACGGGTTGAAGCATAGAGATACAAAACACAAATAATAAATACTAAAGAAAAATTTTCAAACTCATAAACAGCAGAGACGCATTAGTCCTACTTTTAGAATTGTAAACTTCGGTACTGCTTTGTCACTGTTCTTGTTTTGCAAAGACGATAATATTTGACAAGAACAAAAGTAAATTTCTTTTGACTAGTTTGACTCCAAAAAGAAGTTCCTGAAGAAAAAAAAAATATATATATATATGATATTACCACACTTTAACTGACTTTCCTTGAGGCGTTTGAATATCCATATAAGCTGAGCAAAAAGACTAGAATTTTCAGTCAACAAAAGGAACACGGGTGACTCCAACTTTCTAACGATCTTGACAAACGTTAGAGAGAGAGAGAGACAGAGAGCAATCTCAACAGGTGAAAATGAATTCCTACTTAAGTATGACTTCAACAGATTACCAAAAATTAAGTCCTGCTCTTATAATCCACTAATTTCAGACTCCAGAAAGGACAAAAACAATCCAAACCTCGCAGAAAAGAATGAATACTTTTCTAGGATATCCAACGGCCAAACAGCCCCTTAGGAAAAAGATGCTAATGATATTTTAACTTTAGTTTTTGTTTCTCGGAGCAACAAATAATACCTGTTGAAGTATGGTGGTTTTTGGATCCTTTTGAATCGACACTCAGATTCCAGCATCACCCGACAATCCCAATTTGACCACGTAACCACAACAAAGTTAGTTCGCTTGACCCCCTTTTCTTCAAGCCACTTATCATGCAGAAATAGAGCCTCACTCAAGAGAACGCCTTTGTCAACCTGGATCCGATCAGATTACTAAGAAGTTAATAAGTAATAATGTTCACTCCTAAAATGAGTTAGAAGAGAATCAGTTTGGAACAAATTATCCCATTAGAGAACTTCATTTGAAATCTCTAGAAAGCATATAGATCTATTTTCAAATATCAGTACATCTTTCTAGACGTAAAGCAAGCAAATCCATGGAGAAAACCATTGGATATTGGCCTCGACGCTACTTCTATTCTATTAGAAAGGAACCTAGAACTCCCCACTACTTCAAACAAGAAGATAACATGAGAAATATGATAACAGAAGTTAATGGAATAAAGTCTCATTACCTGAGTTTGTTGAATTCCGGTAAGATCCTTACAGAAATTACTAAGAAGTTGATTGTGAGTAGGACGCACATATACTTGAAACTGATCTTCCAGCTGCCCAGTGATACTATTCACCAGAACCGCTGGGAATTCAATAATCTCCTGTGGGTGAGGATTCTTCTCTTTGTCACAAGTTGCCTCAAAATCTATAACCACAAAATACTGAAACTCTTGAAAATTAAACTGTGATTGATACATCTGGGATAACTTCCATAAGGGCAGATATTGAAATTTATTATCATCTGGAATACAGTATTCATGATGATTCACAGGATAGACGTGGTTTTCTAGCGGATAAAACTGGTACTGTTGTGCCTTTTGATTCTCAGGATGATAAGCTGACCAAACATGATAACCCTGTTGGTAGAATGGTCTATGGTAAGCTTCATTTGGAGGGATAGTGTACGTGGTGTTGAGTGACCCACCTTCAGTTATACCACCCACAAAATGGCTACCAGTTTCGTCTATCGGCTTCAAAGATCCTTCCCCTAATTTCCCATTATCTTGCAGGTTTGGAGGTATTGCTTCACCATGTAGGCATCCCACGGATGTGTCATGGTACTTTTGCTTTGTCTCTGCAACAGAAGCAACAATTTTTTGTTCCGATGAGAAAAACTTCCTTTCATGGATAAAGAATCAAGTACATAGGAAAGAGGATAAGGTATCCTTGGAAAAATTAAAACAAGGGAAGGGAAAAGAAAACCAGAAAACAGAAAAGAGCTAAGGAAAAACAAAAAACAAAAAAAAATCAAAATCAATGTAATAGAACGTTATTAATCAATTCATGATGTGCTAGCTACAATTAATCACTTCAGAATGTATTAAGACGTTATTTATAAAATTGAAACAATAACAAATATAATATGTGCTAGGATGTAAGAAAAACGAGTTTCAAGTATATTCAAATAAGATATATACAACATAATGGCATATATAAGATATATACAACATAATGACATATATAAGAGGATTCAAAGTATTTTGCAATTTTGATAATTTTGCTTTTGCGATTCAGGACCTAGTGTGATATTGAGTGCAGCCACC